ATTGGTCATTAGAACTCGTCTTTCCTGGTGAGAGGTAGGGACGTGACGTGTCCGCTGAAGGAACGACACCCTCAGCTATGTTACTCTTACGTTGATCGGGATCTGTGCCCAGTTCCTCTACAGGTGACGCGGGAAGTCTTGTAACAGACTAGTATCTGTCGTGACTCTGCGTACCTCCTTCGCATGACCGTCGATCTGTAGACCCAGCTTGTAGATAAGATCCTGCCCTATTACTATTATTACTGCATCGCACTGTGGCGGCAGCGCATCAAGCAGCTCTACCAGTGTTTGGCGGTCCTTGTGCTTTGTGTTCGTAAGGAAGCGATCTATGGATGGGTCAGCAAGTTTTGAGCTGTCGAAATTGCGTAGGGTGATTGGTGGTAGAAGGGGCAAATTAAAATGGGAGAAGTGTTTTCTGTACTGACCTTGTGTCACTCAGTATATCTGGGCGCCTGTGTCCATATCGGCAGTGAAGGGCATATAACCTTTCCCACTCTGAAGATGAACCGTGAAATGGACGGGCTTGGTGTCTGACCCACCAACTCTGTCGTAACGTTCACGATGTTGTAAGTAATGTAAGGCACGCGCCCTGCGTCCTTGTTGCTTGCCTACAGGAGCTGCTAAATGTTTTTTTGATTGGTCACTGCAAATGTACCTTTGAGAGAGGTTTCTGGCTGGTGTTTTGGTGACTGCATGTAATGTTTACTTAGACTTAGGCCTGGTGCGCGACACGCATAAATGCCATAAAACACTAGACAGGCCTCAAATAGATCTAGTATTAAAGATTTGCCAAGTATAGCTGCGCTCGAAGAACTTGTGACGTAATTTTTCAACGAATCACAAAAGAAATGTTTTTTTATGAATGTAGAGATCTATGATTCTGATGTCGTCCATGATTTTACGGTCGGGGGTGGTCGGTTGGAAAGCCACGTGGCTGGGCCGTCGTCTCTGTGACTATGACTATGACCAACCAACAGTTTCCTCTTAGGGTATCTGTTCTCGGCGTTTTTTAGTGCATATTCAATACCTTGAGTCTGTCTTTCTCTCCCCCCCCCCCTTTCAACGCCTTTGTATTCTTAACCCCAGTCGGGGAATCCTTCACAAAACAGTCACGTGTCGTCACATTATCAGCTAAAATGACCCCCACCCTCCAAGGGAGGTCATTAGACAAGAATAATAAGGAATTGAGATGACTGCGTCCCTATCCTCCCTTTGCAAAGGTTCATGTAAACGCACGCTCCGTATATAAACACACGCTAAGGAGCCCTCCCAAGCACAGTGCGTTTAGGCGGAGACTACTGTAAAATTTAAAATTGAATTATAATTCATTTCATCAATATCAACAGCTTTAGAAGAAGCTGAACTTTTTGTAGTTGCTCTCTTCTTCTGAGCCTGGGTCACGTGCCACAACAACTCATGATGTTACCGTTGTGCATGTGGATTATTTTTAAATTATTCTATAATAAAACATTGATGGAGGCTCTGGCCTAGCTGAGGGCAACATTAACCTTCTCGCTCGTGTCAGATACGATACACCAGGTATGTTAAATGCATGAGAGTAAGAACTCTATACGGTTCCTTGTCACAGTATCAGTGACATTTTTTGTGTGTAGTACCGATAGCTTCTATAATATCTAGCATGTAGATTAATTTATTTGGAATACTTTTGACACACTGCCAGTTTTTTTGTTCTAAATCTTATGAGAATCGTAGTTTTTACTATTTATGAGTTCTGCGGCACCAGCAACCCTAGATCAGTCATAAATACCAAAGATTAATCATGCAGAGTCGTTTAAACTAGAGAGAATTACAAAGTAAAAGTCGAGATATAATCAAGGTCTAATTGTTAGGAAAAAGGGTGTAAACCACACCAGAGCGCCGTCAAACCGCTATGTCTTGGAAATCTATAATTTTAGTTTTAATTGCTGTCTCCTTTTTGGCAGGTCTCTTACTTTTACAGGCCCATGCAACGCTCCTAATCCCATGTAGTAGCTCTCACCTTCACAGTGCGTCGCACTGAAACGGAAAATACGTTAGGCCATTATAATATACATACATGTACATGTATATATAATTATGTGTATTCCAGTTGAATACTTTTTCAAAGTCAAGATGAAATAAAACTACTAGAATCTTGATAACACTAAAAGTGAAACACACAGGGGCGGTTCGTGGGTCTAAAAAGTGGACGTGCACAATTAAGCTATCTTAGGCTGAAGATAATCAAGGGCAGAGTATATGGGATGGTATATAATTTTAGGATCTTTGGGTTGGTGAAAGAAGACCTTGTGCTTTTATTTTCATTCTTTTTACTTGTGGCTTTGACTTCTAGAACTAAATCTGTTTGTTAGCTAAACGACAATTTCATTCATCCTGCATTAGAACTGAACACTCAAGTAATACCTTTCACCACTCCACTACAAAACCGTTCAAAAGAGCAACTCTTAGGACAGCGACTTAAGTATGTCACGTTCACCTCCCTCAGGTTCACGGTCACAGAGTCACTTAAAATAGCGACAAGACAATGAACCAATCACAATTCACTTGAGCACTCCGCTGGATTGCTCCGGGGCCCACATAATTTTGGCTTGGAATAGTGCACAGTCAATGGCGTTTATTTTTAGATTGCCTACTGTGGGCTATGTTTCGGCGCTATTCGGCAGGAGCACATTTGAGATGTGCCGTCTTATTAATATTAATGTACCGCCAAACTCTCTACAAGTGTCGTCATCGCTTGGGTTATCCCAAAGAGCGATTTATAGGTCAGGTTTCCACTGTTGACTATCCTGTTATGTTTAGATACAGCGCATGAACTTGGGAATGGCATAGTAGATGTTTTATGGCGCTATAGAATAGAAATGACAGTTACGGCGCCAGCGAGGGCCTTGTTTCGATATAATATTTGGCTAGTTTTTGTTTTTGGCGTCTTTTATTTTATCATTGTGGGTGCTTTACGTAATAGAACATTAAAACATTTTGGGCGGCACTGCACGACCGTGCTCTATGGACGAACCGCACCTGGAAACACAATATATATATATAGCACAATAGAACTGAGAGATGTGTAACAATAAATCCAAACAAAAATACATATAGGCCTATATAATACACATGATTCAAGAGCAATATGATCATAACGCGAGACTTGGAGACTGACCACATAGACAAGGGCATAACAAACTGCACTACTCTAAGAAGGGTGGGTGTAGGAATTTTTTAAAAAACGGGGGGGGAGGGATCGAGGGACACATGATATTCAACCGCATACCCATGTATACTAGTATAGGAACAAATGTTTTATTTCTCCTTCAGTAAATAAAAGAACTTATAAGAGATATGAAACTTTAATGATTTTAGTATATTACTGTGACAACTTTTCAGGAACAATTACCTTTCATTAAAGAGTACAAAGGGTTTAAAAATGCACAGACAATTGAGGTCACCCGGTACACGTAGGCCTACCGCTAAATAACTGAAAATAAATCTAATCGATACCTAAGAGTGTACAATATTGTATCTAGTACAGCGAGAATGCCCCAGCACCACTTTTAGCGCATTAATGTGCTGCTTTTCTCATCCCTTGTTCTGCTCAAATTAAAGCTGCCCGGACGTATGCAGTAAGATAATACATTTATATATATATATATATATATATATATATATATATATATATATATATATATATTCAAGGACTATAAAGATAATCAGAACTGTCTAACACGGTCACCATTGTCGACGTGAAAAATTGTTGTTTTAGAAAGGTGAATTACGTCGACCACCAGTGTCATAATGGGTTTTTTTTAATCCAAAGGAGAAATGGCCTTTATTATAACTGTTTGTCTTTTGCAGAATGATTATATGCTGCTGGAGCAGGTTCGACTGTATAAACATTGTGTTTAATTATCACTTCAAGTGTTGCTACTGCTCATAATAATATACAGTACACATGTATGCAGCTTTTCTTTTCCTTTTCACCATCACGATTTTTGTCTTCAACTTCAATATACGGTAAATGAAATCATTTCAATACATGTATTCCTATTTCTTCTAATTCCTGGCTGATGTTTCTTAATAAATTTCTGAGACCCTTATTTCTAGCATTCTATTCTATTTTATTAATATCTTGAATAGTTTTTCTGGTTAAGATCCCACCCGCCCCGACCCGACCCGATCCCATCCGCAATGAGCACCTCGTATTAATGATAGAGGTTTCTTCTTCGCAAATTCACGATCGATGGAGGAGGAAAAAAATGTTTGGCCTTGCAATGTGCCCAAGGCTGAGGAAGCCTAGGCCCAAGGAGAGTAGAACCAGAGAGAACTAAACTAGCCTACTGTAGTGTAAACTCCTTGAATGTGCCTCACTCTCACCAGAGAGGATCTCTCATCCTGAAAACCTGGCCAACAAGCCCAACAGAGCCACTGGCCTAGGCTATAGTTTTAGGTCAGTGAACAGAGCCCACCCAACCCAAACGGGCAAACTGTCCCAAACTACTACCAATGATAATACATAACAAGATGGGCCACTCAGCCAAAAAAGTGTCCGCAGGAAGTATGCTCTTTGCTTCAGATGGCGCTGCAGTCTGTTTTGAAGCTCTCTTTCGTTTTTCCAGAAGAAGAATAGGAATAGCACCTCCTTGCGTGCGCAGATCGACTGCTGTTCATCAGCAGTTCGGGTACGTTCAGTGCGGAGTTTTAGTTTTTTTTATATTTTAATGACCTCTCGCCTTTCATTCTAAAGTCAAATTAAACAAAGAAAACCATCACCCTTTCCTCCGGAAGAGGTTTTTTGTCAGCGTAACCATTTTAAAAAAGCGTTCTTCCGAAATTTTCCCCAAAACTTGCTAGTTTCACTTTGATTTTTAAAAACTCAAGTAGGGTAACTCTGTTCGCAAAGAGTGCGCTTTTGTGAAGAGGGCGCCACCAAATTTGGAGGACACTTTTTTAATTGGCTCAAAGAGAGAAGTGGCCCATCTTGTTATGTACTATCATTGCTACTACAAGCCAGCCACAAAAGTAAAGTAAAAAGAGTGACGGGAATTAATGGCGGCTTTGTGTTTGTGTACAGAAAACTAAGCTAAAGTTGTGTGTGTTTGGAAGCAGTTTGAAGGCCGTTTGGAGTGAGTTTTCTTTGCAAAAAATGAAAAATAGTTGGCACTTTTTAGTTAAGTGTTCAAGGGGGGTGTTATTGGTAGCGTTCTAGAGTCTAGTAGTGTGATTGATCTGACTAGAGTCTAGATTCTTAGTACAAGATCACCGCAGAGGGTCATTTCATTTCAACATTTGCCTCTTATTTACAATTAATTTACATATTGTCTGTTTTTGTGTAAATTGGAGTGTGAGTCGATATATTATTGATCGGACAGTGTAGCTTGTAGCTAGAGAAGTCTTGATCTAGATTTAGGTCGTGTAGATCTAGAATCTAGATCTAATCTTAGTCGTAGTGTCAGTGTCAGTCAGTAGTAGTGTAGACTACACAACCTTACATACATTATTGTTGTTGACTCGAGGCTCGAGGGCACTTAGAAATCTAGATCTAGATCTAGATTCTAGATCTAGACTCACTTAGGAGAGAAGTGAAAAGTGAATGAGATGATAATTTGTAGACCTATGACCGGCGCTTTTTCGGTAGTTCCCACCCCCCCAATTGTTATTCACGGGTTTAGGCCCCAAGAGTAGGGGGGTTTCAGGGGGGGGCTTGCCCTTGCCCCCCTGAATTTACCACAATTTAATGTTTCGAAGTGGCTAGCCGTACTCAAGTACGGCTAGACTGAGAGTCTAGCTGCCAGTCTAGCCGTACTTAGATCTAGGTTTGGCCCTATCGACTCAAGCCTGTTAAGTACACAGGTCTCAGATCTAGATCTAAAATCTAGTAATTATTCAGGTTCAAATACATGCAAGTCAGTAAGGCACCTTTTGGTTTTGTCTGAAATACAAATACTTTAGGCATTGCAAACTAAAAATTTCATTTACAATTCAGCCATCAATATTAAGTACGGCTAGACTGACAGTCTAGCCGTACTTATCTTAGGCCCTATTAACATTAGAAAACAGGAGGTTTAAAATACATGCACTGTCGTTAAGGCACCTGGTTTCGTCTCAAATACAAATACTTTAGGTACTGCACACTAAAAATGTATATTTACAATTCAGTAGGCCTATTTTTGTAAATGATGAGTCTAGCCATCATATTAAGAATAAGTACGGCTAGACTGCCTCTAGCCGTACAGACTGCCAGTCTAGCCGTCATTAAGTACGGCTAGCCTCTTCCTTAATGTTTTGCGGTTGTTAGGTTTGATATGTTAGCTCGCTGCGAATCAAACGTACTATAGATCTAGATGTAGGTCAGGCTCAAATAAGGGGGGTGGGAACTACCGAAAAAGAGCCCCTATGACCTATGCCCTAGATATCTAGATCTAGATCTTGATAATCTAGATCTAGAGATTCTAGATCAAGATCTATGTGGCCACCTCTGACTCTGAGAATTGAATGATTGAATAGCTCAGGCGAGCCTTTTGGCTATTCTCACCCGGTGTGCTTTCATCGTGATGATAGGCCAATCAGGGTAGCATTCACCACGAACTAACGTTCCAGCACTCTTGAGTTGAAAGGGTGCAATTTTGTCTGCGGGCAGTGAGAGAGAAAGAGAGGGGGGGGGGGGGGGGCTGGGGAGAGAGAAAGGAGTAGCGCGAGAACTTCCAGGCAAAACAAAATGGCCGGCTCTATTTTTATTTCTCAAAACGGTTTCGTTCTTGAGATATGTTGATATGGGCCTCAGCGAATGGAGTGGCCCATGTGTGTGTATGTGTGTGTGTATGTGTGTGTGTGTCAGTGTGTGTGTAAGTTGTTGTGAACGGTGGGGAGGTGGGTGTGGAAGGATTTTATTTTTTACTTTTGAAGGATTTTAGTTTTTGCTGGGTGACTAAATATAAAGGTTACTGCCAAGGTCGAGCAGTCTTGTTTTCATGCAGTACCTTTTGAAGGTATTTTCAAATGAAGGAACATTGCCCCAGCCACATCTGAAGTATCTGAATATTGAGACATTAAAAAATCTCTAGCTCTAGAAATTGAATTCGATGCAAAAAATGCTTCCTCCCTGTCCTCCCAGAATGACAGAATGAAAGGATGACGCCTAAATCTCGCTAATAACCAAAAAATCTTGAGATCAGAAACCTTTCGGAGAAATAGAGTTCAACTTTATTTTCCCGAGCATTCGGAGAAATAGTCTTTTCTAAACAAAATGGCGCCCCTTGTAGTTCGGCTCTATAAAAAAGACAAAAGTGAAAAATCCATAACATCTTTATAGACGTCCAAATTAGTTTACTTTTGTGCTATAACATTTTTTAAAACTTTGTTTTTGTCTATTTTATCATCCACACCGATAGACAGTTCAGAGGAAAAACAGGTCTTGTTTCACACCAGGTGAGAATAGCCAACGCTGGCAGCCACACCCGCGGTGAGAGGTCGATCATATTTTTATTTTCACCCGCGATGAGAATAGAGCCACTTCTTATATCTATCTATTTAATAAAGGAAGGAATCATGAATGATAAGAGGCACTAAATTTCACATGCGGCTAAACATAGAACGAGGCACCTGCCTGATTGGCTGCTTATTTTAGTAATGTGATCGTGTCATCACATCCTGGGATACCCACGGTCTGTTTTTAGAAGACCGCAGAGATACCAAAGATTCTCTACTACTACACTACACATGACACAGTCTTCGGAGATACCGCATGGAACGACATGTTGGGTCAGTGGCTTGACCTTCCATATCGATGTGTTTCGCATGGTAAAAATTCACACTTGCAGCTAACTGCAGCACCTCAGCCATGCTCTGGTGATGGAAGATCGCTTAGATCATTGATGTTCAGAACAGTAAGAATGCTGATGCTTGAAATTAAAACTCTGTAAAAGCAAAGACAATAAAGCGCGCGAAAATTGCCAAAAAAGATGCCCGGAGATTACCCCCCACCCCCAGGCTCGATAAACAATGCGCAGAAGGGATAAGCAACAGCATCATCGGAACACCGCGTCATATCACATTACCGGTATGTGTCCGTTCTATATTTTTAAAAATTTGGTAACCAAAGATGTGAAGTGTCACATTTGGCACGAAGGAGAAGGACCATTAATTGCCAGTGAATTCTCTTCCTGTGTCAGACGTCCTGGAGGAGCCTACTGACAATAAATATGCCATGTTCATTATGTACAGTGTAACGGTAATGGCTGTACTTATCAACCACAACATTATCTTGCCTTATGCAATCAGCGACATTTGTACCAGATATGACAAAATTGTTGAACACAAATACCTTGAAAAAGAGAAAATGGAAGTGGACAGCACACACGGTATAATCGAAAGGTCCTTGAAGTATGGTATGGATAGTATGTGCTCATGGATAATCTTGAACGTTTTTAAGAAAGCAAGACAATACACCACCCTTCCCCCCCCACTCCACCCTCTCTTTGATGTTCGATTTCTGGACCTTTTGGATATGACTGAAATGAAAAGAACCCGTTGTCACAAGCCTTCGTTGCCTTTGATGCACACTGAATAAAAACATCCAGTGCAAATTGAACGTTAAAAGGAATTGTCTTTTTTTACCGACTCCATGAGGGAGGCCAAAAGCGGTCCTTCCCCAGAAGACCCAACCAAATAACTGAAATAATTACTCTTAACTTTAAAAGTTACTCTTAAAAAACTATTATAATTTGCTTTTAGTCAATTACTCAAATGCCCAAGCGACCGTTGGTGCTCGTCAAGTGGTGTTGATTACTGTGATTGAAACGACTAGACGCTGTCATACTGTCACTTTTGGGGTTGAATCAAGCAGATTTTGGTAGGTCTAAACCGCTTATGTCCAATAACTTTTATGTATGATAGCTTTTAAGAAAAAAACTCGACGTCCTCTGAAGTTACTACAATAGGATCATTAAAACACGCTGCGCCGTCTTGAGATATCACCAATCGGTAATTAGTGCGGAACATATGCTGTCCAAGTTTGCATGTATTGTATTGTTTCTGGTGTAATACCTGTCAGTAAGTTAGTGCTATATCAAATTCTTTTTGTCTCTTTAACTCGTTTGCTTTGCTTTTGTGCTAGAGGGTAAATGCAAGTATGCAAGACATTTAGTTTTTAATTTTAAAAAATTACTTTATTCCGTGAATTATTTCATATTGGTTGAATGAAGAAAATTATGACTGAGGCTTATGCAAACAGTGTACAACTGCATGTGCTTTTGTGTTGTGCTCATTAATTTATCCAGATTTTATTCTTAACTTACCTTTTTTAAAATTGTAATTTTGTTCTTGAACCATAGCATTTTAAACTTTTGTGTTTCTCAGTACAGTATAAAATTTGTCTTTTTCTGTAGACATGCTGTTTTTACCATAGTGACAATGATGATGTGATAATGATAACAAAGTTTTTTAGTTTGAACCAACAAGAAGAATAACTCAGAAAAAGATGTTGTACTCCAAAAGCTTTTTATATAATTGACTCTCTTCTGCTAGGTGACAGCAGCCCTCATGATATTATGAAAATTGAGCAAACTTGCTTGCAAAATGTTACACACTGCAGACGTAATATTATATAATATATATGTTCTCCGTGCGCTGTATCGTGTAAGACTGATTTGTAATATACTTGCAGTCCAAGGTTGCAGAGGTGTACGTCTAGTGTATACCTCTGTCAGTAAGTGACTGCTACATAAAGTTTTTTGTCTCTTTAACTCGCTAGCTTTGCTTTTGGTGCTGGTGGGTACGCAAGACACGAACACTGCTTTGTTAATTATTATTTTATTGCTTCTATGTTCAGCTTTCTTTTTGTTAGTATTAATTTGGTGTTGGTTGAAGATGGTTACAAAAGATACAATGTACCATTAAGATCAAGAGTTGTGCTTTCTAATTTCAAATTTTTTTAATGCTGGTAAATTTTGCTTTTTGAAAGTTGGCAACAGTGTTTATGTACTGTTAATAGTAATAGCATATATGTTGTCAGCTTTTGAAAAATAAAATTTAGCAAAACTTATAGCAATATTTAAGGTTGAGGCCAAAAGAGGAAAGAAACAAAAATGTTTCTCATAAAAGGCAGTGGTTCGTTGCACATACTGTAAATTTCTTGGATAAGTTTTTTATCCCAGACTTTTGTGTTTTAAACTGTTTTGTAGAGGTACTGTGTTAACATTTACTGATAATAAATGATTATATTCACGAAGTTTCAAATTGCATCTAATAAAAAGAATAAATGAGAAAGATATGTTGTCTTTAACATCGAAGTCAAAGCTTTATCACTATCAATTGAGTATGATATCCACTCCTTGGTGACAGCAACCATAATATTTTGGAACTCAAATAAACTTGTTTGAAATGCAGGCTTGCCAATTTTCCCGAATTTCCTAGTACTGTCCCGGATTTGGCAATTAAAAATTTGAGAGCCTTGAATCACTTACGCTACACCAAAACCAGTTCCACTAGATGTAATTTTATTCATTGTTACGTAGTCTGATGTGGTAACATTAGGTGTCCCTGATTGGGTTCTGAAAAAGTTGGCAAGCTTGGAAATGTAGTACTTGTATACTTATGCAGTCCAAGGTTGCAGAAGTATGCGTCAAGTGTATACCTCTGTCAGTAAGTGACTGCTACATTAAGGTTTTTGTCTCTTTAACTCGCTAGCTTTGCTTTGCTGCTGGAGGGTACGCAAGACACGAACAGTGTAGTACTAATGTTGCTTTGCTTTTTGCTTTTTTCCCCCCCCGTAATACCTTTATTATTTCTCGGTTGAAAGAAGTTATTGTAAATGCGAACAAATATACCTACAACTGATTGCTTTTGCTTTCTTTTCTTTTCTTTCTTTTTTTAAAAGTTAATCATAAAGATTTTTTTTTTTTCATAGTTTTCTTTTTCACAGAGTGTTTACTTTCTATTCCAATGACAAGTAAATGATGTCTCTTCCTGTGAAAAAAGAGCCTGGATCAAATTCAAGTTCAGGCCCTGGGTCTGTTGGGTAGGTTCTTTAATTACTTTGTTGAAGTAAATCATCATGTTTAAAGTATTATTCTATTCTATTCTGTTCTATTCTATTCTATTCTATTCTGTTCTGTTCTATTCTATTCTGTTCTATTCTGTTCTATTCTATTCTGTTCTGTTCTGTTCTATTCTATTCTGTTCTATTCTGTTCTATTCTATTCTGTTCTATTCTATTCTATTCTATTCTATTTTATTCTGTTCTGTTCTATTCTATTCTATTCTATTCTATTCTGTTCTATTCAAAGACAGTAATTTTCGGAGGAAAAACAGAAAGAAAAATGATTCAGTTAGCTTAATGGTTTCATAAGACTTTTTGTGTTTGTATTTATTTGTTGTTTCTACTCATGAGACTTAGACTTAGCTGTTCTTTTCCCTGCATTTGTCATATGTTGTTGCCTACTGAAAGGGGTACCTGTCCAAAACTATCACCCAAGGCAACCACTTTCCTCTTCAATAAGTGGTGGGCCATCTTGGACAATATTTCAACTGTAGTTTCTAAAATTTGCGAGTGAGTGGGTCTGGTCTGGTCGCACGATATGAATTCTCCAAGCATCTGTTTGCTCTTCTCCCCAAAGGTCAATGCTGGAGGTCAAGAAAGAGCCCGGGGCCGGGGTCAGTGGCTCAGCCGGGGTTTCTGCCAAGGCGCAGCTGGCCAGCAAGGTCAAACTGGCCGTCGTGCAGGCCTGGAGAGAGAGATGGTCGGAGATTCAGTGGAGCATTCAGCTGAAGAAGCTTCTGGCAGCTTACTCTGGAGAGACAGTGGACATAGCAGGTAGCCTGAAATGTGTTGTGGTCAATTCGCTGTGTGATATAGTAAAACAATGCACAAAGGATTTTTTTTTTTAAAGTCCAGCTTCTGAAATAACCTTACAGTCTTGAAACAGGTATCTGATCCAAAATCATTCCGCTACCACTATGAAAATGGCACCTGAGCCTTTGCCAAAAGGTGGGGGTGTTAGCATGAGGACTTTTTAAATCAACCACTACTCATGGAAAAATGTGTTTTCTACTGAAAATTGCATGCATATGGCAAGGAAATAAGTTGGTCAAGCTGCATGAGCAAGTAGATTGATGTGTGCATCTTATATCTCTTCATAGAAAGGTAATAGTACTAAAAATAGGGCATTTTTTACTCATCCTGAGTGCACATGTAATTGTATGTTAAATACAGAATATTGTTATCTTAAACTATCAAACAGTAGTGCATCCAAACATTGAAAATATTTAGTATACACCATCATAACACTGTGTGTCCATTAAAATGGTTTTATTTTGTTATATTAATGATGTTATTGCTGAGTAAAATTTATAAGTTCGTTTATAACTCGTATCATAATTACATCATCAGACTTTCCAAGGTCTAGAAAACCCAAATCGTTAAACATTGGTTTGACATTGATCCATCAGAAGGGTAATTTTCCGCTCCATCGCATGGTTTTGCTTATATATGACTTTGATTGAGATAATCCAGGTTTGTCATAATGATGTTATGAACAAACACTTAATGATATTTCTGCAAAATATAATGTGAGGGACTTCCCACTGTTTCACAACATCCTTTTACATGGTGGCATAAACATGGAAGAGTAGCGTGCTGATGACTCAAAAGAGAAGCGAAGAAGAGGCAAAAATATGCTTGTCATAATGGATTGTCATCATGTGATGAACGTGACAACGTGTCATAATGGTTATGAACGAAACCTTATTCCATGTAATTTACAGTTGTTTTGGGATGTATTTTTAATTTTAACCCAACTTAAGGATGTATTAGACCTTGCTTACATTCTGATATTTTGATTTTTATCGAAGTGTATGGGTGTGTACTTTAATCAGTATTTTTCTTTTGTAGTAATTGTTATGAACGAACTACATATTGTACTCTGAGGGCTTTCCAGAGTTGATAAACATTAAAAACATGTACACAGATACATATTATGAGGAAACTTTCATTTAATATAAAATTTTAAAGTAAATGACAGGTCAAAATATTAATTTTTAGGTCAAAACTGAACTTTGTCATAATTGTTATGAACGAACCATTAAAGGTATTCTAAGGGTTTTTCAGTGATTTAACTTTGAATTCTTCCTACATATATGCTTATTTTGAGGAGAGTCTCATAAATTAAAACAATTTTATGTGAATGACAGAACAATAGTTAATTTTTTGGGCCCAAGTAAAATTTGTCATAATAGTTATGAACGAAACAGTGTGTCATAATGGTTATGAACGAAACCTTATTCCATGTAATTTACAGTTGTTTTGGGATGTATTTTTAATTTTAACCCAACTTAAGGATGTATTAGACCTTGCTTACATTCTGATATTTTGATTTTTATCTAAGTGTATGGGTGTGTACTTTAATCAGTATTTTTCTTTTGTAGTAATTGTTATGAACGAACTACATATTGTACTCTGAGGGCTTTCCAGAGTTGATAAACATTAAAAACATGTACACAGATACATATTATGAGGAAACTTTCATTTAATATAAAATTTTAAAGTAAATGACAGGTCAAAATATTAATTTTTAGGTCAAAACTGAACTTTGTCATAATTGTTATGAACGAACCATTAAAGGTACTCTAAGGGTTTTTCAGTGATTTAACTTTGAATTCTTCCTACATATATGCTTATTTTGAGGAGAGTCTCATAAATTAAAACAATTTTATGTGAATGACAGAACAATAGTTAATTTTTTGGGCCCAAGTAAAATTTGTCATAATAGTTATGAACGAAACAGTGTGTCATAATGGTTATGAACGAAACCTTATTCCATGTAATTTACAGTTGTTTTGGGATGTATTTTTAATTTTAACCCAACTTAAGGACGTAATAGACCTTGCATACATTCTGATATTTTGATTTTTATCATAAGTGTATGGGTGTGGATTATAATTAGCATTATATTTTTGTAGTAATGGTTATGAATGAACTATGTCCATTTAATAATTTTTAGGGCTTTCCAGTGTTAGTAAACTTTAAAAACATGTACAGAGATACATATTATGAGGAGAGTTTCATTTAATAAAAGTTTTTTAAAATGAATGACAGATCAAAATGTATTAATTTTTAGGTCAAAATTGAAGTTTGTCACAATTGTTATGAACGAACCATTTTAAAGGTATTCTAAGGGTTTTTCAGTAAATAAACTTTTAATTCTTCCTACATAGAGGAATCTATCATATCTTAAGGAGAGTCTCTCATAAATGAAAACCATTTTATGTGAAAGACAGTCTAACAATAAGTTAATTTTTGGGGCCCAAAGTAAAATTTGTCATAATAGTTATGAACGAAACAGTGAGTCATAATGGTTATGAACGAACTTTAAATTTATGCATAACATGCCCTGTGACCAGTTTGCGTTTGAAAATAGCTGTTAAATGGTCTTTCATTTATCACTTGACTATAATTAGACCAGAGTGTTATTTTAGACAATTCTAGTCAATGAAACTTGACCCAATTGACAGTATTTTGGTCACTTATTGTTCGTTCATAACTATTATGACACAAAAAAGTAATTTTATCAAAAATTAATAAAGATTTTTATAAACTATCAATTCTATGTATTTTTGGAAGTTGTTTGCTATGTCTCAAAATATAACCTCAGCCTAGTTTGCTATGTCTCAAAATATAACCTCAGCCTAGCTGAAGAAAGGAACTTGGAGTATTCATAAATTTGTGTCATTGTTATGAACAAATTTTTTGCTATTTCCATCATTCAAGTCAGAATTACACCAAGATCATTGCCTTTACAGCTTCGGCAGTTACTGAGCCTGAAAGAGCAATCATTAGGCTATATAATATGGATGATTAAAGAGTTATTACATAAAGTTGATTTTGGACCTCATTTGTCACATCCAGGTATCCCACCTTTTGGCAAATGCTCTCCTGTAATGTTTTAGAGATCGGAAACTATTTTGACTATGTAGTGTAAGACTCTGCCATTCACTGTTTTGAGAAGTGATGTAGGATGGGGTCTTACATTGAGCAGTCAATTTGCTCTAGGCTGACAGTCAGTTAACTAAGGATGGAGATCTACAATGTAAGGAGTTTGTCAGACATCTGCCGTGGACACGTGACTAAAATGTGACTGGTTCTTCAGATATCAAACATAATGACAGCAAAGATTAGTGAAATTGTAGCCAGTCAGATTATGAATTTCAGTATCTCCACACTGTATGTTCCAAACCATTCTCAAATTACTTGAAATTAACGGAGCAGGATATTAATGGAAACAGTTACTTATGGGTCATAATTTAACACTGGTTGTTCAGTTATTTAAATTAGTGTTCCATTGGTTGGAAATGCACGCTTGATAATAGGAATAAATTGCTATAACATTTTATATCATGGACATAGTTATTAAAGATTTCTTTATGTTTTGCTGCAATGAAATGCTGGCTATAGAACTATGATGTACCAATGCCATTATACCAAATTTTGGAGCCTCCTTTTACCATTCATGAATGTATATTTTTTCCCCCTCTTCAGAAATTTTGATGCAAAGGGCAGTGGTTGGAAGTACCCCAGTATCTCTGATATTGTCTTATTTAAAACACAGTGTATTGTCACAGGTAAGGGCTTTTTCTGACTTTGATATCTGTAGTTATTGTAGATTTTAAAGTGTATGTAAATTTGAAGTGATCAAGTTAAAACAAGGGTGTGTTTGTCTGTTAACATTTGTGAGTTAACCTCCGAGCCAGGGAAGGCACCCCTTGATATTCCAGGTGTTGGATGTTGGGTTTTCAATATTTGCGTAGATGAAGGGGAGCAGTTTACATAACATGTACATGTATTTTCATTAGACTTTCCAAGTACTCCGATAAAATCAGAGCTCTGTTTTAAAAAGTTATCTTTGGCTTGTTAACTCTTTAAACCCCATCGGTAATAACCTTGTTTCCCATTGGATGCTGGGAACGTCTGATGCTAGTGGCAACTGTTCACTTCATTTAGTGCTTGTTTTTCAGAAGTATTCCCGAACCAATTTTTTTTAGTAATGACTAAGCCTTTTTTTCCACCATTTAGAAGTTGGAGGCAACTTTTGGCATTATAATGAGACATACTGCACCAGGTGTAGGTGGCTTTAGAAAAAACTCTGGGAAATGGTGGAAATAACTCAGGGTTTCAAGAGTGAAGCAATTCCGATTAGATTTGCCTAAAATAATCTTTTTTTTGGCTGCTAGAAATCTGTTTTTGTCAGGTCGCAGGTGACTGATATTTCACCCGAAAAGACACATTTTTATTTGGGTGTATTTACAATACATGTTTATTCGTCTTTGTTGGTTCATTATATAACCTTGATTTTCTGGGGTCCGGAAACTCAGATTTTTGTTCCAAGACTCTGATTTATTGGAGGCTTCTGAAGAAAACTCCTATTTTGGGTCATTGAGTGGTTGGCAGGTATGTAAATTAAAGCGTAAATGTGAATCACAAGATACTTCATTTTATTGAAACATGAATTTATTTGAAAAATCTCTTGAAGCCAAGCTTCTGTCTTTATTATGGTTTGTTGAGGAGTTTTTAGGCTGCTGCCGTGGTCATATTGATTCCTGTACTATCAATGAAAAAAAAAGATCAAATGTTTTCAGTGTATGTGTGTTTCTTCAGATGATCCCCTTCAACACTGTTCTCAAGTACATCACAGAGTTTGAAGATTTCTCACGTCCACATTGTGTTCTAGCCCTCCTTCATTTGGCAGAGATGTTTGGCTCTAAAATAAGGTATTTTCTTTCCTAAGTACTCTTTTACCTGTGAAATGAGAGCATAGGTGTTTACAAACAAAAATTGATTTTTAAAAAACTATCTGGAGTACCTTACATGCTGTCAGTCTATAAAAGCACAAGTTCAATATGACAGTTCTCTTTCAAATTTTTCTGTTTCGTTTATCTATGTGAGTCTTTCAGTGTTATGGCATATCTTTGAGGCTGATGATACACTTTTTTCTGGCATGAAATTATATCACCTACGCTTGTTATGCATATCTGTCGGGCCAAAATATATATCTGTGTGGCTTGTTACATATATCTGTCAGGGTTATAATGTATAGCTCTCGCGCTTGTAATGTAAATCTGTCAGGCTTGTAATGTGTATCTTGTCTAGTTTGAAATGTACAACTGTTATGCAGTGGGTGGTTGGCGGGTGTTCTGGTGTGGTTTGCTCCTTCTTTCCTATCAAACATCTATCATCCTGATCTGTCCTCCTTTTTTTGGTGTGTTTTTTACTCTCTTGTAACACCTCTAATCTTCGGCATTTATGTGATCTTATTGTGTTGCAAGTGCCGTGAAACTCTTACTAAAACTAAACTGTTGTGCTTGCAATGCATCTCCCTCTCGCTCTCTCTCTCTCTCTCTTTCTCTCTCTCTCTCTCATTGCATATATTTTGTTTTTGCCCACCAGTTTGAGCCCCTGCCCGGACTCGGCCCTCCAGCTGATGCGCACTATGCTGCGACTGATCCACTGGCTACTCAAAGCTTTACTCAGTTGCTTGCAGGTAACAATTACTTTTGGCAACTGCCAGCCAAAGAGGGGCGCATCTCAAGGAATTTTTGCAGCCACTGCAATATAATAATAATAATAGCTCGTTTGCCAATATCTGATGATAACCAATACATCCGTAGAGGAGAATATTTCTCCAGCGAAATAGAAGAATTTGACAAATTAAAGGTTATGATGACTTGTGGCTTCTGCTGTAACTGATATAATCAATTCTGGCACAGAAAACTTTGCCACATTATGAACATTTAAAGGCTCCACTTCCGCTACGAAGTGCCAATAAAAGTAAAACCCAGCTGAGTGGTTGTCTTTTATAAGTGGAAGTCTTGGACATTGTCATTATGATGACAAAAATACAAAGTGCAAGAGGGGTAATGGGAAGTGGTCATTTGTGCAGATGATTGTCATAGAGAGGTGCCCGTCAGAGCAGGTTTGGCTGTATTATTACATATAGGAACTGTAGTCAGAGGGTGCTGCCTCTCAAGAAATTTCTGCTTTAAAAAAAATAAGAAATGCAAGCAAAAGTAAAGAACAACTCCCCATACCTCCATGCGTCATGACAATCACAATGCTGTGTTTTCTGTTTATTCACGACATAGATGCAACTCCTTGTTAACTCCATGATTATAGTTCATCTGTCAATGTCTGCGTACAACCAGTGCATCTGCAGAGGAGAATATTTCTCCAGTGAAATAGAAGAATTAGAAGAATTAAAGGTTAAGAAGATGTGTGACTTCTGCTGTGGCTGATATTATTTTGACTGCATTGTGGCATCCTTACTGATCGCAGTGAAATAACTAGACAGGGTAGATGTGGTGAGCTTTCCATGTTAACTCCATGTTAACACTGGGTCTATGCACTATGTCAAGAATGTTCGAAGTGTGGGACTATCCTTTATTTTTACAGGAATATCTAAACTTGAAGAAGGAGGTGCGACTGTATTTTTACTTTTATTAAGTTTCATGTAGTGGGTGGTCGGGGGGTGCTCTGGTATATATTGCTTTTTTTTCCTATTGAACATCTATTGTTTTTATTTCCCATCCTTTTACTTTTGTATCTTATTCTCTTGTAACACCTCTAATCTGTGGCACTTATATGACCTATTCGCATTGCAAGTGCCATAAAACTCTTACTAAAACTAAATATTAGTTTCATAGACCTGTTGACAAGTTATGACTCTTAAAATTTACAGAGGCTGCAAGACAACAGGCCAAACCAAGTAGCCTCTGAATATTTTGTCATCATCGACAACTCTAGCCGAGCAATCTCCAACATTCTGGAGCGTCGTGCGGTGCGTAGTCTGATGCAGGTGGCTCGGGCAGACAGTGCTGGTGAGTTGTCGTGTACTGAGAGAAGCCCCACCATTGACTGCTTGTGGGTCTTTCTCAAAAGACAAATTTTAGTGCCATAATTGTGTATGTGCGCAAACAAGAAATTTATGCATTTCAAGAATCTAAATGCTGAGAGTTTCAGGTATTTTTCTTTTGATTGCTGTTCATGGGCATAAAATTGTAAGCACTTTTAATTTGCGGTGGTTTAAGTGTGGAGGCTGTTTAAAAAATTATTTTTTGGGGTGGGGGGATGAAAATAATGAGCTGTAGTTATTCTAGTTTTTAATATTTGTTTAATTTTACATAAACTGAAGGAAATGAGATACTTGAATTCATGCTTTGAAAAATCAATAGGATGTTGTTACCATTGAGTAAAACGTGTGTGTAGATGAGCTGTGTGCAAGAGAGGAACTGGCAATGCAAGGCCACTCTGTGCTGGTTATTTGACTAATTCATCTATCCGTGGAAATATATCCTCAAGGAGAAAATTTGTGCATCAGAACATTTCTCATCCATACATTAATTATATGCATCTAAGTGCTGTAAAATTCGTACAAAATAAAAACTTAAACTGACATGTTTATTGATGTTTCTCTACCAGAGGAATACCGAGAGTTTGAGCAGTGTGAGATGAATGTCCGGGGAACCCTAACCCAGCTCTCCCCAGCCTCTATGTCGGAGGACACGAGGGAGAAGATCAACAATGCTCTCATGCTTTTATCAAAGTAAGCGGATAGACTTTATTATTTTCTTTTGTTCCTTGTCCCTTTTTCAGATGCCATGTTAGTGGTCTTATTCATGTACGACAATCGTTGACTAAGAAAATGTGAGCGAGTAGGTACCTTGATATTTCAACATTAACTCATTCGCTACATATTATTTTCGGCTTGTGGACGAATTTTTTTCGGGAGGGTGAAATGAGATGATGACTAGTGCGCAGTTCACATGTCTTTGGGGCCATAAATTCGAATAAATATCAATATATTATATACCAACATTTTCAGTATGGTTTGTAGAATACACCTGTATTGCTTATTTGTGTATTTTTCAACTTTGGTTCCTGTAAGAGGCGATTAAGCAACACAATTGTGATTGGATGCGGATAAAATTTGAAAATAAAAAAATTAATAACCCCAGGTGAAACTCAAAAAATATGTTTGCACCTAGTCATATGATACATCAAAATAACTTTAACTGTATTTAGAACAGGAAAATATTGAAAAATGTGCAGTTATTTACCTATATTCCATAATATTTGTACATTTGGATCATAACATCTGATATTGAAAAAAAAAAAAAAAAAAAATCTTGAAAAAAGGATCACAAACAGAAAAAAACACTCGTATCTTATATGGAATTATTAAGATTTGCATTTGGAATAAACCTATACATGTCTTGGGTGGTACTTTTTGAGTAATTTCACCCAAAAGTAGTGATTTTGGGTAGCAAAAAATATTTTGACTATTTAGATCTAGGCCTACATCTAGCACTAAAAAATATTGATTTCTCAATTACAGTGCTCTGGCAATTTGAGTCCAATAGTATCAATATTATAAAGAAGAGTCCTACATTTCTTTAGTGAGCAAAATAATGATACATTTTGTTGTGTAAAAGTACCAAGACTGGTGTCAGGGCTATAATTTGGGCTTCGCCATAAAACAATGTCGCATAAACTTCGAAATCGTGTTTCAAAACTGAATCAAAACTTCCGATTTTCGGTGGAAACGCTTGACCCGGAAGTCAACATTATATTATGACCTTTATTTTAACATGGATATGTGGATTGGAATAGACACCAAGCTAACATTGAATGTCGGCTCTCGAGCCGCCGGGGCGGCTTAGCGTACTGATGGCACTTTAGCCGCGCCGCCCCCCCACGGCTCGGCGTAGCGAATGAGTTAAAAAGGATCTATGAGAGAATATGAAAAACAATGATTAGGTCTATTTGTTAGTTTTTTAATTTTTAATTAATTAGTTTTTACATTTTTCCTAGCTTTTGTTGCCTATTCTAAGCCCATCCCCTCCCTGTCCTGGGGATGGTGGTTAGCCTTTATGATATTGATAATAATAGAGTCCAAACTGTCTAAGTTGGCCGCTCATTGTCGACGAGAAATGTCTTAGACAGGTGAAAGTCTTACAAAGTCATAATAATGTAAAAAATACACAAAGGAGCAAATGGGAAGTCGATGTTTGTATAGGTGATTGTCTTATACAGGTGGCTAATGGAGCAGGTGTTCCTGTAGTTCGTCCATTAATAGCTGACGATTACCAAAATATGTGCGCCGAAGAATATTTCTTGAAGAGAAACAGAAGAAATAAGGATTAAGATGATTTGTGGCTTCTTCCATAGCTAATGAGACTAATTTTGGCAAGAAGAGTTTGCCACATTTCAAGCATTTAAAAAGCTTCATGTCCATTTGTGGGGTTAAAAATCTTATTGTAAAGATTTTCATGGTAATTAAAAAATGAATGAAAATGGGTTTCTTTCCAGAATGGAGGAGCAGCAGCTTGTGCTGGGTCCCGTGCTGGAGGTTCTGCATGCCCCGATCTACCCGACCATCAGCGGTCTGGTGGCCCTGGAGGCCATCTTCAACACCAACAGCGACGTGCAGCCCTTTGTGGACCAGATCCTCATGGTCTCCAGGCTCATGGTCAGTCAGATGCTCTTCTTCTGTTGCTTTTTTCTATGGTTTTTTTTTTTGTTTCTTCCTCTTCTTCTGTTGCTTCTTTGTTTATTTCTGCTTCTTTTACTTCTTCTGGGGGTTTTTTTTTGGGGGGGGAGGGGTGTTTTGCTTCTTTTATTTTTGTTTCTTCTTCCTTTGAATATTTCCTTTTTTTTTGCTTCTTCTTTTCCTTCTTTTTTTTTCTTTTTTTTTTTGCTTCTTCTGATTTTGTTGTTGCTGTTGCTTATTCTTCTTTTCATGCTTTTTTTTTTGCCTCTTCTACTTTTGCGTATTCTTCTTTTGCTGCTCCTTCATCTTTTGCTTCCTCTTTTTCTTCCTCATTTTCTTTTCATTGCGATTTTTTTTTGCATTCAATCAAAAATCTTAGACACTGTACTAAGAGACATTTTGCCAATTAAACTCCCTGCCTTGTTTATGTTTGACAAAGTTGTCTTCTGGATAGTGGCTCTTTGTTAGTGTGAGAGATGTCTGTCGTTTCATTTAACCTCCATTTTCTTGGACTGCATATGCGTGTATTCATGTATGTGTTATTAAATGGTCTTACAAATTTGCATTCTCTGTCTTTGATTTGTCAATTGAGTGATAATTTTACATTGTACATTGCTTAGAGCCTTCATGGTATTAGGCGCAATATAAATTCTCATTATTATTGTTATTAACTCAAAGCCGCAGAGCTGGCCTTCAGCAGAAAACTGCATCTTCCCTGGACTCTCAATGGCAACACATAGTATGAAAAGTAATAAAGTAAAGTAAATGCTGTAGAAATTGCCAAAGATGGCCACCCATTGTCAATTAGAAATGTTGGTTTCTTAGACAGCTGAAAGTCTTATATAGTGTCATTATTATGTAAAACAGAAATGTAAGGGGAATGAAGTGGCCGTTTGTTCAGATAATTGTCTTACACAGGTATCTGTTTGGTCAGACTAGATTGTAGATTCTTAAATAACCTATTGGTGTTGATAGGGGTGTTAAACCTATGCCATTTTACCTCGTTAAACTCGGAGGCCACGCCTCCTAAATAACCTAATAGTGTTGACAGGGGCGTTAAACCTATACCATTTCACCATTGTTCTTTTCCCGACCTCCTCAACAGAAGCTGTCCATGCCCCAGATGTGCCTGGAGATGTTCCGCGCCTGCTTCATGGGCTTCCTGGACACAAGCGAGTACACAGAGGACCTGCAGTGGGCCACCTTCATCTTCCTGAAGCTCCCACACATCTTGTCCACCATGAGGCAGCAGATGCCCGACTGGGACGTGGCCATACAGGTGGAGAAAGGCATCGACATGCTCATGGAGTACTCACATCTCCTCGACCAGACGGACATCAAGCAGAAGTGGGACTCTTTCTCTTTAGCTTTTTGTTTTTTGTCTTGTACTTATTTGAGTTTAAGATGAACTACATTAATTTTTCACCAAAGTCTTAAAAAAAAATTATGAATGTTTTTCTGTAAGATAATCACACTAATGTAAAGATAATTACTCTAATGTAAATGAAATAATATTGTCAGTGGTTGACAGGAGCTCTAAAGTGGTTTGGTTTTGTTTGAAATGAAAATAATCACTTTGGCTTAACTCACTCAGCCCTAATGCCGATAATATCGGTATGCCCATACAACGCTCCAACTCTAAAGCCGACAGTATCAGTATGGAAAATTTTGCTCTCGTGACCGAAAACACTTCTTTTGTGTGAAGCAAACTATAGCCTTTTTGAAAAAGTAATCATTTTGTGTTTGATACAGACTATAACCATAAGTGCAAGCCCAAATTTAGAACAAAGAAAGCTATATTCATGAACCGTGCGAGGGGGTGCGAAATTGACGCACTTCATTTCTTCGCTTTATTGTGTACATTTTGACTCTGTATATAGACCTTTTCCAACGAAGTGTTGCATAAAAAATATGGCATATTTTGCCTTCAAATTTTCAATTCTCACAAATAAAGGTTGGAACAAAATGTGTACCAAATTTGGTAGGATATCTTAGAATTTAGTATCTTTTTCAATTTTTCAAAAAGTGGTAAAAATCTCTAGGGAGAGCTGACAACCCGGAAGTGTAGGCCTTGGGTTGAGTGAGTTAATAGAAGCCACTTATTATATATGAGAAGTGCATACACATAACTGGTTTTTGTTGTTTTTTGTTTTTTGTTGTTTTTTGTTTTTTGTTGTTGTTTTTTTGTCTTAGGGAAAATGTGAACTCTTCTGTTTATAGGATCTTGAGCCGGCATGTTTTGAGCTGGAGACAATTGCACTATTATTATATTTTTTGCTAAGGTTTATGACTATACTGACTTGGACAACTACCGATGCTATTTGAAGGGCCATGACAGCCCATACTTTTGAGTCAGGGCACTTGATAATTTTGTGAATTCTTTACCTGTCTTTACTTCATATGTTGTTTATTCGTTATTTGTTGTCTTTGTATGCTGTGTATCCGTTATTTGTTGTATTTTTCTGTTGATTGTCCTTTTCTTATTGTCTTGGCATGTTGTTTGAATGTGCTTTCTGGCTTGCTTACAACACTGATCACTTGTTTGACCTTGTCCTTATTTTTGTGTTTTCCAGCTATGACATGCTCAGTCAGTTTATCAACGAGCTGCACAGAGCTAACATCATTTCTGAAGCACAGAAAAATATACTCACTCAGAAGAGGTAGGCAAATGTGTGGTCTCTCAAAGCTGTGGGGACTCTTTCGCATATTTTTTTTTTCTGTTTTAGTTGGGGTCGTATTTATTAATTATTTCATCTTGCTATTTTCAGCATAAGTGTAAAGCCCTTGATGCTAACAAAGTATGAATGTGTTAGCTTTGATTACTTTGAATACGTTTCTTTTAAAATTGCAAAAAAAAATTTTATTGTCTGTGTGAGTGAAATTTTGTTGGTTTGGTTGTTTTGGCTCGTATATTGCATCATAATTTGTTTAGGGTGAAAGTGGAGACAAAACATTAATTGCATGAGGTTGGAAAAATATGGAAAGGAAGCATATCGTCACTGCGCCAACAAAATGGCATAACTCAAGAGTTGTACCAAAATGCAACTAGCCTTTTGTTTGATGGTACTATATCTATCTTTTGGTAAAACCAAAACAAAAATGGGGTTGGCAGGTACAAAAGAAACGTGCGTGGCAGGTTTTACCATTATTAGGTGGTAAGTAGTATAGTATAGGTGAACAATTTTTCCCCATTTATCCCAAAAGGAGCTAAAATGAGATGTGCCATTTTGCTAACGCAGTGATGATGTGTGATGCTTTTAATTCAAGTTGTTTAGTGATAGCATTGATGAACTTTGTCTCGTTCGTGTGTGGGTCGTCCTGTAGTTGACCGGAGCCTTCTCATTTCAGGTTGGAACAGAGGAGCAAGCTGAGGCGGTCAGACATTACAGGGTCCAGTGATGCCAAAAACCTTAGTCGAGTGTCCCATGCGGAGTCTACGGTCACCAGCATTCTGAAGGTGAGCCTCAGAGTCTGGTCTTGGTAGATCAGAAAAACCTCAATTAACTTAGAACTCACTGGCTTTGAGTATGGTTACCCTATAGACTTGTATCACAATATCTTAGACTAGGCGCTCCTGATATGATTCTGGTTCACTATGGAGCGTGCCATTTGACTATAATTGGAACCAAATGAAGTGCAAGGAGGAAAAAGTTGTGCACCCACCCCACTATAGCGAGACTTGTGTTTTGCCCTTCATTTGCATAACCATTATGCGCATCAGCGGGGCAAAGTTTTTTACAGAGAGCAGAGAGTGGCAGCCATGACAGTGGCCAGCCTTGTAGATGACATATCAAGTCTATGAATTATCTAAATGATCTCATTTTTACTGTGGCATATTGGATGAAGTAAGGGGCTCGCAGTGGAATGGGCATTCTCAGAATATTCACACTGATCCCTAAACTCTTTTGTTGCTGAAAAGAAAGTCATTGTATCAGGTTTGCCAACTGTCCCGAATTTCCTGGTACTGTCTCTAATTTGGCAATTGGGAATTTGAGAGAAGATTTGCATAGACTGCACCAAAATCAGTCACCTTGATGTAACTTTTTTTTGTTATGTACCCAGTGGGTTTTGAAAAAGCTGGCAAACCTGTAAATTGTAATTCAAGTTTTGTGATAAAATGTTTCTCTCCTGTTATGACAGCTCCTACTTTCTTACAAATGTAGCGGCCATTGCCTGTGTAAAATTAACAGGGCTTTAAAAAAATAATTTGGTGCCTTTATTCCTTCTTTGAATGTCTATTGGCTATATTTTCTTGATTATGTGTGTTGCTTATTTCTGTAATGAAGTTTGTGTTTGCTTGTTCACTTCTCTGTTAGTGATAACTGATAACTACTGATTTTTGTGAAGCTTTTTAGAGCTTTTAAGATGCTGCAGTCGTGCATTCTTGTATGGGGATAAGATGATCCTACTTTTAAAAGCTATACTTTTGTGTTAGGATTGTGCCTAGTAACTGGATGCTTTGGTCTTGCGCCATTTAACATTTTTTTCCAATTTAGTTTACATTTTTTCTCGTCTCAAAATCAGCTACCATCATTAGAAGAGTGACTTGGGCATTGGGTTTATTTTGGTTTTGTGTCTCTCCCCCCCCCCCCCCCCCACCGTTGTTTTTGGTTTTGTGGGTTGTTTTGTTTTGTTTTTTCTTGTGTTGTTTTGCTGTTTTTCTTAGTTTTCTTCTGTACTTCACCTGTAACTGCTGTCTCTTCTGTTCCTGTGTCCTCCCCTATAGTTTGAGACTGGCATGAATCTTTGTTGTCTTGCAGTGTGTTGCGTGATCCTGTGTGACTAACTTGCTTGTCTAGCCGCATCCCTTATGTTACTGGCTTTCCCTTATCATTATTTTTGTTTGTTTTTGGTGATTAATCTTGTTTCATGCTTAACATTTTTGCTTTTACTGCAGTATTTTTATTTTTTTTAGAGTCGTCACGAACTCAGAACTGAATTATCGCTAAAGTTCGGGACTAAATATCCACCTACATATAGACTGTAACATATATCTGATTTTTCCGGCTATTGTTAAGGATACACCTCACACATGTTTTCATTGGTAAAGAAAAGATGAGACGGAACGACTGGTCATGACTTTATTGGCCTCAGTAATACTTCATGACAACAATGTGACTGATTGCAGATTTAGGATATCTGACTGAGATTGCTTAATTCGTTTACTCTCTCTCTCTCCTTCTCTTTTCACCTTTCTGTTCTTCAGGCTGAGCGGATGATAAAGGTGAAATAAACTCACTGGAAGACCTCATGTTGTTGATATTTTGATGATTCCTGCTCTTGTTTTTTTTTTCTTAGAAGTATTTTTTTTTCTTTTGTTTTTGTTTTATTTCATTTTGTCCTTTTGCTGTTTATGTTTTTACTGTTCACACACTTTTTTGTTCTATTTTTTAAAGGAATATTGTGATGTTTATGTACTAGAATGATTTTTAAAAATTAAGTGAAGAGGTTTTTTCGTACTTTTCTCAAGTATTCTCGTTACGAATTAAAATTTTCTCAGAGCTGATAGTGTTTTTCTAAGAGGTGTAAAAAAAAGTTTTTTTTCGGTATTGTTGTTTGTTCTTGATGCTTAATCTCTTTTTTTTTTTTTGCAAAGGCTTTTGATGAAGAGCACAGTAGAGCTTTTAGCACAACTTCTCTCTACATGAGTTGAGCGATGCGTTCCCTCGTCTGGTCGAAGCCACTGGTGCTATAAGGTTTACATAACCATGCCACAATAACGCAAACATAAAGACCTAACATTCCCCTCAGATATTTAGAAATTGAACGATGCAGGCGAGTATGTCTTGTCCAGGTGATTTTGATGCTGGGATATTAAGTTAATAAATGCAGGATAATAATTATTAACATACTAATTGTTTGAGGTCGACACTTTAAATTTACTATGTACTATAGCTATGTACTTAATCACCAGAAACTATATCTTGGAATCTGTTTGGTCAGTTCAGTCATCCACAAAACCTTTTCTTTCTTTAAAAAAAAAATTTGAGTTGATAATACTGTTGTATTTGGGCCTGTTTTGTTTTGTCGCTGTTGCCGGATCCCAATTTTGTTTGTCTCGTCGTTTTGCCTTCCATCCTCTCTGATTTATACTGATCTGCAACCTGTCATATTTTCGCTATTCTGTTTAAATGAGAAGCCTTTCTGTCATTTGATAGCAGTTTTGTTCTGGTTTTCCTTTGTTTTGTTTTTTACTGTGGCTTATTTTATCTCTGTATTTCATTTACAGTACCGTAATCGATTTCCCCTTATTGATATCTCAGGGGTGCTGGTTTTCCAGATGTCATATGGCACTTATATATATAAATAGCCTTGGAACAAGAAGTATTAAACGACATGAGCCATAACGTTAAATCCCTGTGCATGCATTTACGCTGGGTCCAAAAAGTTTGGGGGTTTTACCGTTTACGTGTAGCCTGTTGGCATCTCTGATATCTGATGGATGTCGAAAGTCTCTCTCTCTCTCTCTCTCTC